AACTCACGAGTAGGAGGTCCTGTGAGGAGCGGAGAGTGCGTGTTGGGTGGTAGATGAATATCAGGTCGGATATGGTTATAGCATTAAATTGGTTATAAACCTCAGATATGAAATATGAACAAAGCATATCCCTCTATAGTGTGTGCTTGTCTCAATCCAGAGCACTAAGTGTAATTTATTCCCTCATTCCTCTGCTATCAGCATGAGTCACTTCTGATGCATTTTCCTGACACCAGGAGGAAAAAGGTGAGAGGGGAGGGCATAGCCATGTGTGCTGTATGGAAGGGGTGTGTCCCTTCTCTCCAATCAGCTCTCAGAGCTCTCCTCACTGAGTGTAATTTCTGCTCTCCGCCTCCTGCTTTTCAGAGCTGAGAGATCCTGTGTAAATTCTGCACTTTCAAGGGATATAGAGAAGAGAGGGCTGCAGATAAACAGGTACAACTTATGTAGGAGGATTTGTTTTATCTCTGTGTATCACCTGAGGCCAGTCACTTCACTCAGTATATATAAGGGTTTACAACCACTTTAAAACACCTGTTTGTAATGGTATTTAGGGACTGCATGGAGTATTTTTTGATAAAGATCAACTAACCCTTTAAATCAGAATTGGCACTAGAAATGTGTTACTTTTTTTTCAAATGCTGGAGTCTATATGCTTTTGCAGCAAAAAATGAAAATAAAAATATATTGCAAAACCTTTTTGTTTATTCATTATATAACTTTCCAAAATTACTTTTAAATCCTAAATTCATATTTTCTTTTTCTCTCTTTTTTAGTGTTTTTTTTCTCTAAGAAAGCTATAGAGCAGGGGTCTCCAAACTGCAGCCCGTGGGCCGAATGTGGCCTTTTGCTTACCTTTTTCCGGCCCTTGGGGCACAGTTCGCCCATTAACATCAACAAGGACACACCATTCCTTCCAATGACATCAAGAATGGGGAACCATTTCTCTCACTGACACCAACAATGGGGCATTTTTCCTTCCAATGACACCAGTGATTGGTACCATTCCTCCCACGACATCACCAGCAATGGGGCATAAATCAGGTAGGTAACAGGAATCAGGATACAAGCAGCAAGCACAGAACGTAGTAGACTAGAAGGCATAGGTTTCAGTGCAGCAGGGGTTTAAATAGCCCACCTGTGCAACCTTGTGCACGTGCGTATGCGCACCGGCACGGCCGATGGTTACCCAGCGTTGGCGCATAGATGTGCACCGACGCGAAGCTTCCTTACCCTGACAGTGCCCCCCCCCCCCCCCCCCCCCCTTATGGGCAGCCTCTGGATGCCCAACTGGGCCATTCTCTCAGGGTGCTTGCGTCTGAACGCCAAGATTAAGTCTCTAGTGTGGATGTTGGATTCTGGTTCCCATGAATTGTCTTCAGGTCCATATCCTTTCCATTTAATTAGGTACTAGAGCTGATTCCTTCTTCTTCTGCAATCAATGATTGCTTCCACCTCATATTCTTCTTCGCCATTAACGATTACTGGTTCAGGTGGCTTTGACTTCCGTTGGGGAAAGGGTTAGGAACTGAGGGTCTAAGTAGTGACACGTGAAATATAGGGTGGATCCTTACGGTTTCTGGCAAAGTAAGCTCATATGATACACTATTAATTCTTTTCTTTACTGGAAAAGGTCCCAGGAACTTGGGATCAAGCTTCTTTGAAGGTCAATTTTAACCTCCCTAGCGGTGTTCCCGAGTGCAGCTCGGGGTAAAATTTCAATACCAAGAGCGGTAACCTCGAGCTACACTCGGGCTTACCATGCGGCGTTGCTCAGGGGGTCCCTTCAGCACTTACCTTGTCCTTCGCTCCCGCGATGTGTCCCCTGCAGCGTCCCCGGCCATCTCCTCCGGCCGATGCCAGCATCCGGCTTCCGTGTTCCGGTCCCTGTGACGTCGGGACGTACGGGCACGGAACCGGCGGGAAATTTGAAATTTTTTAAAAAAATTAAATTTTTGCTGTCATTGCTGTTTCAATGCATTTCACATATATTTTGTCCCTACTGCTTTGTCCTGTGCCCTGCCTGCATTTTGAATGTTCTTTCTGCCTCGAAACTTAGAAAAGTCCATGGCATCCAAAAAGCGCCCTTTTAGGTCAAAAGCGGTTTTAGACCGGTAGAGAACAGCGATAGTAAATCGGAACCACTTGCAGAATTGAGTGATAATGATTCGTGGGGGAAATTCGTCATCAGACACTGAAAACGATTCTGCGACTTTGCTCAGCGATGTGCGAATTTGCCTCTGTATTTCAAATTTCTGTGTTTTTGGTTTGATTATATTATTGAATTAAATTTATTATTATTATATTATTATTTTTTATGATTATTTATTAAATTATAATTTATGATTTCGTGTTTCAAATTTTATCATACCCGGGATGTTTACTAGACTCTTGTTCATACAGATTTCAGTGAGTTATTCCTAAGAATTACAGCCTACAATAAAAAACTACATATTTCCATGCAAAAAAATGGTACGGCTTTCAGCACATAAAAATTGGAAAGAATCATACTGCCGAGGAGGTTAAATAAAGGTTTATTGTAGAACAGAGCCAGCCATCCAGTTGAAACAATGTGACAGTGAAAAAAAAACTGAAAACTCACTGAGAGAGCCATTGACGACCCAGGATTGTGCAGCGGCGTTACGTAAGCACTAAGATTCCACCCCAATGCTGATGTCATTCCGCTACATGATCTCCTGGAACTCCTAAATCATGCATTTAATAGACTCTTGTTCGGACAGATTTCAGTGAGTTATTCCTAAAAATTACAGCCTACAATAAAAAACTACATATTTCCATGCAAAAAAATCAGAAAGAATCATACCGCCGAGGAAGTTAAATTGGTTGTAGATAGCCATACCTCCTCACCAGGTTCCAGGATCAAGTCCCCCTTCATTTTCTTTTCAAAAGAACCTCTTGTTATCTTGTTGGGCTTTCAGGATTGCCTCCTGTAGTACTTTGGTTGTTCTGTTGAAGAAACTCAAAAGTATTGTGTACTGCCGGAATTGGCGATTCGGGAACCGTATTGGATAGAAATGATGGATGGAATCCGTAGTGTGAAAAGAAAAGAAAGGAGATTGTTTCATGGCTGAGTGCTTTGAGTTGTTATAAGCGAACTCGGCCAAGGGTAACAATGACACCCAGTCATCGTTGAGAAAAGAAGGTAAAACAACGGATATACTGCTCTAAAGTCTGATTAGTTCTTTCCGTTTGCTCATTGGTCTGGGGGTGATAGGCGGAAGACAGTGAGAGTTATATTTTTAGCTTTTCACAAAGTGCTTTCCAGAATTTCGAGGTAAATGATACTCCTCAATCGGAAACAATATTTCCCGGAACTCCATACAGATTGAATTGCAATACATTGATTTATCGGCTGTCCTAGCTGAGAAAGTGACAGGCGACCCGGAAGTGACGTCACACACATCGCCTTCTGGGTCACAGAAAGAAGAGGAGGAGAGCAATTAATGCACTCTCCTCTCTCCCCTCCATCTGCGGGCACCCGCCATGGCACTCCCCGGGTTCACAGATGGGCGAGCGGGACCCAGATACATGGTGGAAGCGCACAAGCATGGGGTGGGGCATGGGTACCGGGGGCTGTGGAAGCGATCGGGCGGCAACGCAGCCACCCGACTGTTTCCAAGTCTGCCTGTCAGTTTTAGACACAATCCCGGTGACTGCAGCCACTAGATTGTGTATAAACCCCCACCGTCAGGTCTGTACTACGTATGGACCTGGTGCCAAAAGGGTTAAAGGGATGCAGTTTTCTTCCACTTTTTTTTTGTAACTGACGAACGCACCAAAAGCTGATCCTGTGTGAAAGCAGCCTAATACAGGAATTCTCTAGCCAATCAAATGAGTTTACATACATCCTCTTCTAAACGCAAATAATTAGACGGCAAAACGAGCATTTTTTTTTAACCCGGATTTTTCTGCCAGCTCCAAGCAGGAGTATTTTAGTAAGGTCTTATGCATGAGGTCTTACGGAATGCGTTTTTTTGTAAACTTTCTCTCCATGTTTCATGAACGTGAGCAAAGTCGCATGATTTTGCATGCATTTGCACCTGCGAATGCAGGATCGGACAATGTGATCGAATCTATGAATTATCGAAGAGACACATACCCTTTCTGATCGGTCTGGACAAATATCCAATTGTAGGAAAGTAGAGAGATCAATATGATCATAGGGTGCATGGCGTATTGAACAGTCTTTTTGATCTTCTGATTGTATTTTTCTCCCAGGCAGCAAATCATCAGTAGGACCACTTATAAAATGGTGGTGTCTATGGTCCCCTCAATCACATTCAGGTAGTTGATATTGCAGCTGCTTACCAGTTGCTATGTCCAGGGCTGCTGTTAGAAACCATGGGTGGGGCTCCATACAGCAAACCTGGTAGGGCTCCTCCACCAAAAAAAAAAAAAAACTAAAAAAACTAATTCAAGTTATGAATGAACACAGTGAGTGATTGTTACCAATCACTCATGGTGTTCATTCAGGAAAGGAGAGGGCTGGTAAATGGGACATAATTAGCAGACCCTTTCCAAACTCTACATCCTGAAGGATCCAATTGTGTGCTTGCAGATGCCAGTGGAAAGAAGAGGAGGGGAGATGGCAGCACTGTGAGGGTGGAAGTGGGGGCACACAGGGGGGCCTGGGCAGCAGGGGGAAATGTATGGTGCACAGGGAGGGTGCGACGGGGGCAATTACTGGAACCGACCCCCTGTATGGCTCTCTCTGCTGCAGCTGAAAGCCTGCAGGACAGAGAGGAGAAGAAGCCACCCTCTCTGCCCGCATCTGATTCAACCAGCTGCCTGGGCCCCCCCACGCTGGCCTGGGCCCCATACAGGAGGACTGGTGGTACCCCCTTATCCACAGCCCTGGCTATGTCTGCAACTGATTCCAAAACAATTACAGCCAGTTCTCTCCATATCCCAAATTCCCAATAAATCCACTATTAACTAGGATTAAACAGAGGATGCCATATCATAAATGGGTCCTTACCAGGAGCAGACTGACCATTTGGCAACTCGGGCACTGCCCGAGGGCCTGGGGTCATTAGGGGCCCCATGAGATGCCATTGGTACCTTTTTATAGGCTTTTTTGAGTGTGGGAGAGGACACAGGGGCCCCATGATCCCCTATTGCCCGGGGGCCCCATGAGTTGTCAGTCCAGCCCTGGTCCTTACATTGAGATTTCACAGTAAAACGCCTCTAAAGACCCCAACCACCTGGCCACTATGACCACCGAATAGCACCAGTCCATATATCAGGCCAGGAGGGTGGGGAATCTCTTCTTTGTCCACTGCCTTCATACTGCTTGAAGATTTCAAGCTCCCTCCTTGACACCATTGCAGCCCCCCCTTTCAACATTCCATCCCACCAATTAAGATACATAACCTCATATCTTCTGATCCTTTGAACTTTAGTATTAACCCTATGGCTCTTTTCACAAGGGTGCCTTCCATTCTTATCAGGGGGGTATCTGTCCGCTGATTCCCTGCTGATCGAAGCAGAGTGGGGTGGGTGGCAGGTCCATGTCCACTCAGTTTATGCAGAGCGGACACAGAGGGACCCCTCTCTGCTCTATGGGTGGTCAGGAGTAAATTGACTCCGTTGCCTTTATACACTCGGCTACCTCTGATCTGGCCTGCCTAAACGGAAGAGGACACAGTCCTCCTCCATTTTTTTAGTGGGTCAATCAGACCCAGAGGAAGTCGGGTATAAATGAAAACAAGTCAATTGACACCCACCGGTCCATAGGAATACCCAGACCCCCTGATCAGGGCTACCTGAAAAGCTGACAGGTGGGCCTGATCAAATCTCCCGTGTGAAGGGACCCTATATCTGCTTGATTTTCCTGTTAGCCCCGTGATATCTGTCCCTCTCCTAATTTTTATATTTTTGTTGCTTCTGGCCTATCACACTTGATTGTGTGAATACGGGGATCTGATAAACTATTGTTTTTTTCTACAGTTTTTTGCTACATGCATGATATGCACTTGACATGCACCAAATAAACAAAATAGTGTACCTATATTGAAGAGGGTTTGCGATGTGTGCGCCACTAAATGGGCAATCGAATATTGTGATTTTTTGCATTTTTGCTCTTCAGACGGACACTCAGGGAAGGCAGCAAGCAGTTCAGCTAATAATATTGTCTAAAGACAAAACAGTTTTTTTCTATTTTGGTTTTATATTGAGTGGCTAGGGGTTAGAATAAGATTTTTATTGCTGTTTTTGTTCACTTACTCTATTTGTGAGAAAAGTAAGGAAAAAATTCACAACTGCAAATTCATAGCAGAACAGGAATAAGGGGAAGTCTTCCAATGGGGTCGTTGGTCCCAGTGACAGTGTCAGGGAATGGGAAGATCGCCGCGGCGATCGAATCTGCACATGCATAGAATCCTGACAAAACGTACAGGCAGGCGGGCTCTAGGACCCAGGCGCGTCTGTCACCAATGACGGCTCCGGGCAAGCACTAGGACCCAGGAGCGCCTGTCAGGAGTCGGGCGGGCTATTTAAACCCGGCTCATGCAATGCTCAAGTGCCTATGGTCTTATCTTTGTTCCTGTGAGTAGATTGTTTGTTGCTGACCCTGCCTGACCCTGATTTGCTGTCGTCTCCTGCTCTGATCCCTGGCTTTGTCTGACCATTCTCCTGCTTAACCCCATACGTTCTGACCTCCTGTTGACGAAACCGGCTTGTGACCTGTTTATCCCTCTGCCTGCTGATTCTGTACTACGCCGCCACCACTGGTACCGACCCGGCCTGCCCGATGCTGCTTCAGTTACCTCCTCACATCAGACTCTTAACTGCTATACACCTTCAACGGTGCCTCTACCACAGCTGGGTGAACCCAGGGGCCGTGACCTGGTCTCGGACTGCTCCAAGTCCATCCCCACCATCAGGGGCTCTGGTGAACAAGCAGGTCGGAGCTTACATTCCGCGCCTTGGGGGATTCCAGTCTGTGGAGTGCTAGAGGCTACCGCGGTTGGATTCCTGACAGACAGCTAAGGGATCACTTCTTCTTCTCTCTGTCTGTCTACACAACAGGACATAAAGGGTATTTCTCAAAAGGGGCATGAATGGCATAAAATTGACCGGAGTTTTAACCATTGTCCACTTATCTAAAATACTTTTACTTATGATGAGGAGCCAAAAAGTCCATCAATGGTAAAAAAAAAACTTCTTACATTGACACAATGATGGAGATCTCCAGGTAATCAGTTGAGAACGTCTATGAGCTTGAAGCAGAGTTTTTGGATGACATTTCGAGAAATGCGGTTCTTGACATTGCAACCTCCTTGCAGGGAGCTCTTATCTGACGTGTGATCCCATTCTAAGAAAAACCATGTCATGGTTCACCTCACCAACATAAAAGGGAATCACCTTTATTAGACTGTTCTTTGTTTTGCTCAACAAACAGCTGTTAAATTTTAACAAGCCAGCATTTGAGCTCCTTGGATGACTCTACAAATGAGCCTGCAGGTTTTTTAAAGTCAAAACAAGGTCACCAGTTTACCATGGATATGTTGTATCACTACCGGTGGAAATGGGTAACCCCAATGAAGATCTGGGGAATGCCAGTCATCACCAGCTTTTGGTGAATGACGGTCCCAGCTCTCAGCCCTTCACACTATTCCACTTGTAGGCTGTAGGGGCCCGGGTGGTAGGCACCCCTGAGGGAAGGAATGGCACACACAGCAGTTGAAGTTGCAGAATTTGCATTATCCATACAGCAGTAACAGAGTCTATACAGCCGCTTAGAACTGGTAGCAACAGAATTTTAGAAACAAATACAACGTCCCGCACACAGATGTGGTGCTTTAACCACTTGACCTCCAGAGGATTTACCCCCCTTAATGGCCAGGCCTCTTTTTGCTACTCGGCGCTGCACTAATTCAACTGATAAGTGCACAGTCATACAATGCTGCACCCAAACGAAATTTACGTCTTTTTTTTCACACAAATAGAGCTTTCTTTCGGTGGTATTTGATCACCTGTGCATTTTTTATTTTTCACGCTATAAACAAAAAAAGGCCAAGAATTTTGAAGAAAAACGATATTTTTTACTTTCAGCTGTAAAAAATATATAGTAAACTCAAAGTTAGTTATAAATTTAGGCCAAAATGTATTCTGCTCCATGTTTTTGGTAAAAAAAATCCCAATAAGTGTATATTGATTGCTTTGTGTGAAAGTTATAGCGTCTACAAACTATGGTATAGATACTGCAATTTTCGCCATTTTTTTGCTATACAGTGCTGCGCTAGTTTAACGGACAATTGCGCGGTCATGCAATACGGTACATAAATGAAATTTACATCCTTTTTTTCCCACAAATTGAGCTTTCTTTCGGTGGTATTTGATTGCCTGTGCAGTTTTTATTTTTTGCGCTATAAAAAAAAAGGCTGACAATTTTGAGGAAAAAAAAAACAATATTTTGTACTTTTTGATATAAAATATGTCCAGTAAAAAAAATTTAAAAATCTAATTTAGTCATAAATTTCTGCCAAAATGCATTCTGCGACATGTCTTTGCTAAAAAAAAAAAACCCAATACGTGTAAATTAATTGGTTTACGTGAAAGCTATTGCGTTTACAAATGGCGGGAAAGATACTGGGATTTTTAGTTTTTTTTTTTATACTAATAATGGCGGCGATCAGCGACTTATGGCGGCGATCAGTGACTTATGGTGGGACATTGGGGGGTACTGACTTGGGGTCACTGACATCCCCAGTGACACCAATACAGTGATCAGTGCAAAAAAAAACAAAAAAACACTGACACTGTACTAATGGCACTGGGGAGGAAGGGGTTAAGTTTATTATTCAGGGAAAGGGTTAACTGTGTGAGGGGAGTGTCTTACTAGGGGGCGGGGGTGTGTACTGCAGGGAACACCGCTGATCGGGAGAGAGAAGCTCTTCTGTCCCGATCAGCGTGTCCTGGAGCTGTCAGGGAACTGACAGAAAGCACAGCTACTGCAGCTGTGCTCTCTTTCAGCGATTGCCGCCGATTGCCAGGACATAGCCGGTAACGACCGGCTGTGACCCGGCGACTGACATTCGCGGCTGTGATCGGCGGGACAGTAGGGTAGGGCGGTGGCGCGCCTCGCGCATGCCCCCTACCTGTTTTAAAAAAAAACACACGTTTTAAAATGTGGTTTTGCCCAGCCGTGCCACCCTGCCGCCGTATTTCTACAGTGGCTGGGCGGTATGTGGTTAAGGTGTAGTCCACCTGTCTGGCCAGTTGGTGTGGTGCTGAAGGTCTTTCTGCCCTCTCAGGATTGTGGGTCTCCTTGCTAAACTGGAAATAATAATAAAAGAGGGCGCACCAACCTGGGGCATTACCAAAAACACCATTTATTTAAAAGGTATATAAAATGTAGGTCATCCACTCACAAAAATTTAAAAACAGGCATGTAATAGGATGCAGACGAGACCGCCTCAAGGTCCACAGAAACCAAGCCAGTGGTATAGGAAGTCTGCGTGGCATTTCAAAGACTTAAACGTTTCAAGTTTCGAGGGACAAACCCTCTTCCTCAGAGCCAAAGTGAGAATACTTACTTTGCCTCTGAGGAAGAGGGGTTGTCCCTCGAAAGGCTTAAGCGTTTGGATGCCACACAGACTTCCCATACCACTGTTTTGGTACCGTGGATCTTGAGGCGGTCTCGTCTGCATGCCATTACATTCCTGTTGTGTTTGACTTTTTATATATCTTTTAGATAAATGGTGCTTTTGGTAATGCACTAGGTCGGTGCGCCCTCTTTCTTTTATTGTTGCAAAATAATTTTATGCATTACTGGCAAGGAGCGATGCAACAAGACAGGCAGCACCTGGCACAGAAGGGGGTAGCTGGATGGCAGATGCAGAAAGAACTGGTAGCGGAAAGTTTCCCCTGTTAAAGCACTGAAGACAGTCCCTATACCAGTGATGGCGAACCTATGGCACGCGTGCCAGAGCTGGCACGCAGAGCCATCTCAGTGGGCACGCCAGGAAGAAGAGGAAGATGAGCGCACACGGACCGGCCATCCAGATCTCGTCCACACTGGACCCCCATCAAACTACATTTCCCACATGTCTCTGGGGCCAGGGTGGGTGTGGACGAGAGGAAACGGCTCCAATGCGGCTCTGGCACCAGGGGTGATGTAGCCGGGGATGGGCGTGGAAGAGAGGAAGAGGCTCCCACACTGCTCCGGGGCCAGGGGCAACGTGTTCAGCGTGGATGGGAATGAGCTGCTGGGTTGGAAGCCACACCGACGCTGCCAGAGGTGAGATTAACTGCTTGCAGTGTCATCCCTCAGTGACCAGCAGTGTCGCCTGTCAGTGCCCAGCAGTGTCGCCCATCAGTGCCACCCATCAATGATGCCCTGCAGTGCCATCCGTCAGTGCTGCCCAGCAGTGTCGCCTGTCAGTGCTGCCCAGCTGTGCCACCTGTCAGTGCTGCCCAGCAGTGCCACCCGTCAGTGCTGCCCAGCAGTGCCACCTGTCAGTGCTGCCCAGCAGTGCCACCTGTCAGTGCTGCCCAGCAGTGTCGCCCAGCAGTGCTGCCCATCAGTGTCGCCCATCAGTGCTGCCCATCAGTGCCACCCATCAATGATGCCCAGCAGTGCCCAGCAGTGTCATCCATCAGTGCCCAGCAGTGTCACCCATCAGTGCCCAGCAGTGTCGCCTGTCAGTACTGCCCAGCAGTGCCACCTGTCAGTGCTGCCCAGCAGTGTCGCCCATCAGTGCCACCCATCAATGATGCCCAGCAGTGCCGCCGATCAGTGCCGTCTGTCAGTGCCTCCAGGTAAGCAAGTGGTTAATTGCAGTGGTGGCACTTTGAAATAAAAAAGTTGGTTTGTGTTGCAGTTTTGGGCACTCGGGCTCAAAAAGGTTCGCCATCACTGCCCTATACTGACCCTCCTCCTCTGGAACTTCACCCTACACTAGACGCACTCAATCACTTGCCATCCGCCCTATAGAAGAAGTACTGCTACAGGGCGGCACGGTTGTGCAAAATCACACATATATACGTGATTTGGACTTCCAGGTAGGGGGCGCGCCCTGCCCTATCCACGCCACTATTGGCATCTGTGGGATGTCAATCACCAGGTACCAGCTGGCAATTCCAGCACTCGGTGATTGTTGGCAAAGCCGACAGGGGAGAGATCTATGTGTAAACAACACAGATCTCTCTGCTGTCAGCATGGACATGCTGCTTTGTATCTCTCTGCACAACAGAGAGATACAAAGCAGCATGTCTCCCAAGGAAAACACACACAGCACTCAGTTAACCCTTTGATCACCCCAGATGTTAAGCCTTTCCTGCCCAGTACCATTAGTACAGTGTCAGTGCTTTTTATTAGCATTGATCACTGTCTTAGTGTCATTGGGATGTCAGTGGCAGTTAGTTAGTTCCCCCCAGTATCAGAATGCCCCCCGCAGTCCCTCTATAAGTCGCTGATTGCCACCATTACTAGTATTAAAAAAATTAAAATTCCAGTATCAATACCGCCATTTGTAGACGCTATAACTTTCAAGTAAACCAATTGATTTACATGTATTGGGATTTTTTTAGCAAGACACTAAGAAGAATACATTTTGGCCTAAATTTATGAAGAAATTTGATTTTTTTAATTTTTTACTGGATATATTTTATAGTAAAAAGTCAAAAATATTGGGTTTTTTTTTTCAAAATTATTGGTCTTTTTTTGTTTATATCGCAAAAACTTAAAAAACACAGAGGAGATCAAATACCACTGAAAGAAAGCTCTATTTGTGAGAAAAAAAAGACCCAAATTTAATTTCGGTGCAGTGTTGCATGACCGTGCAATTGTCAGTTAAAGTAGCGCAGTGCCGTATCGCAAAAAATGGCCTGGTCATGAAGTCGGGTTCCTGTCCCTAACCTAGCTACAAACAGAATGCTTGCCAACAGCAGGGGGACTGCTTTTATAAGCATTGCTCTCACTAAAGATGGGATCATCCAGGTGCTAGCGACCATTCAGACAGCACTCCACCTAATGACACATATGGAGGCCTTAGAGGAATGGACATACCTCCTGTCCCCCACTCACCCTGAAGGGTGGTGCAACAGCTCCACCTGTGTTGGGAGGTCAACCTACATCTGCCTACACACTGATGACTGCCAACATGGCCCACTCCAGGATAAAATCTTTTTAACACCCCTCCCTTCCATCCCCATCTAACCCATCCTAACAGTCTCCCCCTTCCCCATGTGAAGGCAATAATGCTCATTTAAATCCCCCATCCAGGCCCCTCACTTTATTGTATATTATACTACCAATTGTCTTAAAGTGATTCTAATGCCTCTTTTACAATGAATTTTATTGTAGAATAGATAACATCAGAGAAATAGGAACAGAAGCACTGACCAACAGAAATAAAACGTACAAGTTTTCTGATGAATAACACAGGGAATGCACTGATATATAGACAAGGAAACAAACTTAGTACCAGGGGCGGACTGACCATTCGAGCACTCGGGCACTGCCCGAGGGCCCGGGGTCAGTAGGGGGCCCCATGAAATGCCCCTGGTACCTTTTATAGGCTTTTTTGGGTGTGCTTTGGGTGTGGGCGAGGACACAGGGGCCCCATGATCCCGTATTGCCCGAGGGCCCCATGAGTTGTCAATCCACCCCTGCTCAGTACACAAGCACAATATATGAAGAGGGAAAATAAAACAATAACTTGCCAAAATTGTAGACATATAGAGACCAATGAGTTAATCAACTAAGAGCAAAGATTATCACAAAATCCGCATACAGAAGGCAGGAAGGATGGAACACGGAGCCTCTCTGGATGCATATTGGTACTCAGGGGCAGACTGACCATTTGGAAACTTGGGCACCGCCCAAGGGCCCGGGGTCAGTAGGGGGCCCCATGAAATGCCTCTGGTACCTTTTTCATAGGCTTTTTTGAGTTTGGGCAAGGACACAGGGGCCCCATGATCCCCTATTGCCCGGGGGCCCCATGAGTTGTCAGTCTGCCCCTGTTAGTACTCTATACTCAGGACTCCCGAGGAAGTCGACAGGTAGATATAGTATTGCTGGTACGGTACTTAAAACAAAAATTACAATCAGCGCAAATATCATGAAAACAGACTGAGCAGAAAAAGAGAAAGAGAGGAACGAAGAAAAAAAGACAAAAGACAAAGAAAGGCTCCAGGGGACCGCGACGGAAGAAGAAAAAAAAAAAAATCTTATATCGACAAAAGGGTCTGGTCAAATCTCGACGGTTGGGATATATCAAGCCAGGGACGCCACGTGTGCAGAAACTTTTTGTGGGTTTCTAACAGTATAGCCCTGATTCTAATGCTTCAATTATTTTTTTAAATATCAAACTTGTCATACTTAACAATTGTTTTGCACAAAGCAGCTCCAGTTCTCCTCTTTCGAGGTCCGTTGCTGACACTCTCTGTTCCTCCTCTATACTGCATGGCCCCATATCAAGCGGCTTGCTATGGGGGGCACTTGTACAGGCTTGATCCTGAGCCAGGCTGTGTGCTTCTGTTGATACACACAGTGTGGCTCTGTTCCACCCCACCACATTCTGCTCATAGGATTTGATTGCCAGCAGTAGGAGTCAATGGCTGCCACTTCCTCAGCAAAGCCTATGAGAGGGGAGGGAGCTGTTATAGACAGCCAGGGCTGCTGTTAGGAACCAGGGGGGGCCCCATACAGCCAACCAAAGAGCCCCCCAAAAAAAACACAGTTTACTATGTTTCAGTTATGACTGAACACAGAGAGCGATCGTTACCGATCACTCAATGGGGAAGATTTACTAAAACTGGTTCACTCAGAATCTGGTGCAGCTGTGCATGGTAGCCAATCAGCTTCTAACTTCAGTTTGTTCAATTAAGCTTTGGCAATAAAACCTGAAAGCTGATTGGTTTCCTTGCAGGGCTGCACCAGATTTTGCACTCTCCAGTTTTAGTAAATATCCCCCATTGTGTGCATTTAGGAAAGCTGATAAATACAACATATTTACTGGACCCTTCCCCCACTCTCCATCCTTGAGGATCCTAATGTCTGCTTGCAGCTGTCTGGAAGGAAGGGAGGGAAGGGCGGTTGGGTAATGGGGGGCAATTACTTGAATCGTTCCCCTGTGTGGCTCTCTCTTCAGCAGCTGAAAGCCAGTGGGAGGGAGAGGAGAAGAAGTCAGCTTTCAGCTGCTGCAGAGAGAGCCATACAGGGGATCATTTCCAGTAATTTTCCCCCTGCAGTGCTGATCCCCCTCCCTGCCCACATCTGATTCACCCAGCTGCTTGGGTCCCCCTGCTGGCCTGGAGGACTGGTGGTACCCCCTTATTCACGCCTTGCAGACAGCACAGCGCTGAATTAACGGAGGACTCAGGTAAAGTATTTAGGGGGTGAGGGGGCAATACTGCTACTGGGACATTTTTTACCTGAATGCAGGATATGCATTTAGGTAAAAAATGTCATGCCTGTGGAACCACTTTGAGGAGGCTTGTAAATAAATGTGTATTTTAAAGGATGAAGAGATCAGTATTAGGAGACTATAATAAAAATGATATTGATTTTATAGGTGTTAGAAATATACCAAAACCCTAAAAAATTTCCCCCAATAATTCTGTGTTTTTCTCTTGGAATAGTAAATGGGATGTTGGTGAATGATTATGTCATTCCAGCTTGATTATTGGTTATTAAGTTTAAAAAAAAAAAAAAAAAAAAAAGTACATCCATCATCAATCATGCTGTTCAACATTCCAGATTTTTGTTAATCGTAATTAACGACACCCACTGACTTACTGAAAGAAAGAAAAAAACCTGATGTCACTATTCGCTCCCTTCACTCACTCGCCAAGAATGAAGGCTTCTAGTCACTGCTGCTAAATGTAAACAAAGAGATAGGGACTCCTGGGTGATGCCATTGACCAAATATAGACATGATCATATTTGGTCAGTGACATCACGAAAGAATCCCTTATTACAGCATTAGCTATGAGCGAATCTGCACGTTTTGTAAGGTGGGTGTGTCCAAACCCTCCACTCAGGTTTCAGATTACACTCAGCTCTCCTCTCTATGCTGTGCAGTTTTGAAATCAGATTCCTGCATCAGAAGTTCACAGCCCATAGCACTGTAGCTAATCTTCCTGGACGTGGACTAAAGAACAAAATTGATCAAAGAGATTGCAATGAAGGATTGATCGAATGGTGGACAAAGAACCTCGACCTATTCCAGACAAATTCAAGCTGACCTACAGGCACAGAGAACAACTGTGTCGCCTCAAACTATATGTCACCATTTGAATGAAAAGGGACTCTATGGTAGGAGACCCAGGAGGACCCCACTGCTGAAGTGGAAACATAAAAAAGCCAGATTGGAGTTTGCCAAAACTTACCAGAGAAAGCAAAAATCCTTTTGGGAGAATGTGCTGTGGCCAGATGAAACAAAATCAGAGTTTTCTGGTAAAGCCCATCATTCTACTGTTTTCAGAAAAAGCAATGAGGCCTTTAAAGAAAAGAATACAGTCTGCACAGTCAAACATGGTGGAGGGTCACAGATGTTTTGGGGTTACATTGCTGGTTCAGGCACTAGATGTCTTGACCGTGTGCAGTGCATTGTGAAATCTGAAGACTACCAAAGAATTCTGGGGTGCAATGTAGAGCCTGGTGTCAGAAAGTTGGATCTCCGTCAGAGGTCATGGGTCTTACAGCAGGAC